CCCACCGCTTTCTAGCTGATGAGTTACTTCAGCTTACTAGGCTCCGTTTCCATGTCCATACCAACATTAATAATGTGCTTGCTCCTCAGTGGTGTGGTGGGAAACGCAGCACTGAACTTGTGCTCATCATAAATTTGGGGTATTATTGTCACCCTTTGTGTGGGTGGCGGTAGCATTTCTGCATGAAGTTCTTCCCCCGCCTCCTGCCCTCCAGACAAACGCAGCTCCTTTGTGACTTTCCCCTCCAGTCCTCACAATGCCATAACCAGTTTGATACCAAGCAGCAACTTGTCCCCTTTTTCATGGCTACACCACCGTACACGTGTCATGCTTCAGCTAGGGCCTCTAGACAGTCTCCAGGTAGATCGCTTCTCTGGTCCTGGGATGTGTGTTACCGAGTGGAGAGGTGGGCAAGGGGCTTCTGAGAAGGGCACCCCCTTCCTCCTCCCACTCCCCACGCCTGCCATCTCCAAGGGAGGGTGAGGACTGGGATTCAGCTATCCTCTCAGTCCTTGCTTTGGAAAAAGAATCTAGGAGCAGAGAAGGGCTGGTTGTTGGGCTGATCCAGTTATGGGGAAGAGACAAGTAATTTCTGAAGTGATAAGAGAAGCCATGAATCTCTGCAAAGAAGAAAAAGGACAGGCCTGCTGGCCGCGGTGGGCAGATACCCAGGGACCCTTGCTAAGCTCCCTTCTGCTCCCAGCTGGTCTGCCCTCATTAGCATGCCGGCACTGAGGGCCGCTGGGAGCCACACTTTATGGATTATCTGGAGCTAAGAGTAATCCCAAAATTCACAAACACGGGCTCTAGGAATAAAAGAGATAGAAATAGGGTAGGTGGGGGATGGGACGCTGTCTACTAGACAGGCAAACGATAGTTACAGGAAAAGAGTCTCAAAGGGTTGGTCTCCAGTCATTTCTTTTTTCACTCATAAGAATTACTGAGGAGCTGGGAGAAAGCTCAGTGGCACAAGCGCTTGCTTGGCAAAGCAAGGTCCCGAGTTCGATTCCAGTACAAAAAAAAAAAAAAAAAAAAAAAGAATTATTGAGGGCCATGAAGATATTTGGTTATATAGACTCTATTGTTAATATTTGACATATTAGAAATTCAGACTGGGTAGTGTTTAAATATTTATGTATCCTAAGAATAACCAAATAACCCTATCACGTGTTAGCAAATAGCATGTTTATGAAAAGTGATGATGTTTTCCCCGTGGTGGGGGAGGGCCATGGAGAAGATGGCCCTGGCCTTAAAGGCTTGTGCTTTGGGCTCAATGATGCAGTGTGACTCTGGGAAGATCACACACTGTGGTGTCTGGGAGGGCTGGTGTGTGTTCCTCAGAGAATGGGGGTGAAAGGCAAAAATAAGCATAGCGTTACTATGAAAGTAATTTTTTGTGTGTGTGTGTGGTACCAGGGATTGAACTCACGACCTCGAGCTTGCGAGGCAGGCGCTTATGCCACTGAGCTAAATCCCTGGCCCTATGAAAGTAGTTTTGACTGTTGTCCCTGAAAAGGCACTTGCGGGGGAGGGGTGTGTGCTGGGAGTCTCCAGACCACTCAGAGAACCACTGTTCTAGTGAACACTAGAAATAACCCTTCCAAAAGTTTCTTTTAACCTTGTAGCTTCTCTCCCACTTTCTTTGACCCTGATCTGTATCTTAAAGTTTTCATGAATTAAAATCCCTTCCTTGTCCTGTACTACATTCTAGAGATATAAAGAAGGAAAAGAGAGATGCCCTGACCCCAGGGAGCTGGTCGGGGGAAGCAGGTAGTGGAGAAACCTCCTCAGGCCCAGAGGAGCTGTGTAGACCCAGGTACAAAGAATGCTGGACTGAGACTGTAAGGAGAGCAGTGGACACAGGCCATGCGAGGGCTTCCTGGGTGGACCAGAAGGACGACACTTGAAGGACACTCAAAGGTCCAGTCAGACCCTGGGGAAGTGCCCTGGGGGTCCAAGTAATAGACGGTTTCCTGAAGAAGGCAGTTGGAGGAGCAAATCTGGTCTTCTGAGCACCTCCTCGCCTGAGAGGAAGCCCCGGGGCAGGGCTGAGTGTGGTGAGGGCGGGAGGAGACCTGCCTGAGCCAGGAGGCAGGGAAGGACAGACAGCAGGTGAAAGCGAGGTCACAGCAGTGTGGAGGCTGTAGGGAGGCTGGCCACTCTCTTCAGGGGAAGAACTCGGGGCTAAACTAGCACTCTGGGAGGCTGAAGCAGGAGGATCACAAATTCAAGCCCAGCCTGGGTAATTTAGTGACTTAGCAAGCAAGATCCTGTCTCAAAATAAATAATGAAAAAGGACTGAGGATGTAGCTCAGAGTGAAGGCCTTTATTAGGTTCAGTCCCCAGTCTCTGTCTCCGTCTCTGTCTCTGTCTCTGTCTCTCTCACACACAACACACACACACTTACACGCACTCTTTGGGCTACTGAGGACTAGCACACTTTCGTAAGTACCTTCCACCCATGTTGCTATTGAAATCCGGCCTCTGCATGCTGTAAGGACCGGAGACCAAAGCTAGGGTTCAGGGTGCCACACGCAGCTGAGTCCCACCTGTGTGTGACTTGGACTTCTCCGGGTCTGAGCGTTGTTACTTGTGAAGCGAAAGGTGGAGCACCCCAGAGGCTGGCAGCGAGCAGCCTCAGCCTCTGCAGACTCCCGACCTCGGCCTCTGGGTGCTGCAAAACCACGTCTGCAGCTGGCTCTGCTCAGCCAGGCAGTGGAGTAGGCTGGAGTCTAAGGTTTTTGTTCACTGCTCAAGTATATGATTCAGGGGTGCGAACCAACCTTAAATATATCAATAGAAGGTAGCCAAGAACCTTTGGTGAATCAGAATTTTGGGGCAATTTTAGTCTTTGGATTCCCAAGACTTAGTTTTCCTAATTTGATTGCTTTGGTGGCCTTTATCAAGATCTCTCTCTCTCTCCTGAGGATAAACCCAGGTATAGTAGGTACATGTTCTTCCCCTGGACTACATCCTTACCCTCATTTTCTCTTCCTGATGAAGTATAAATGGCCCAAACTGACATGGTAGGTATAACCTTATGTTCCTGAGGCCCTAAAATTGAGTAATTTCTTGAGTGGACTACAAAGACATTCTACCAAGGAAATATCAGTGAACAAATGAATGGCAGATAGACAGACTTGGTCATGGACCTCGACTGTTTACAGGCGAGGAGAGAAGATCAAGACTCAAGGGAGAAGAACAGGGTTAGCATGAGACTATCTGTAGTTGGGGGCAAGAAGGGCATCTATCCTGGTCACTGGCCACTGAAAAATACCAGATTTAAGGATGTTTAAGGGTGAGCTAAAGAAATGAAAGTCCAGTTGAGAAACCTTTGTCCAGGATTCAACTCCAAGCAGCCTGAAAAGTAACAGAGATGGCTCGGATTTTGTGGCACCTCCAAGGAAGGTCAGAGAGGGCCATGTGTTGATCTGTCCCATGGGCCATGATAGGAGGAGACTGGCTGCAGCATCAGGCCCTGGGAGAGGCCATATCTTCCTGAGCTCTGAGCCAGTAGGTACCAGGGCCAGCACCAGATCCCAGCACCTCATGCACCAATGATTTTCCCACCTGTACAATGGAGAAGATGCTGCCGCGCATCCCTACAGCTGCAGATTTTTGCTTTTTGAGCCCTGTCAGCGATCACCTGTTTTAACACCATTATCTCATAGATACTAAAACCAAGACCAGAGACACTAAGTGACTCAGCAAAGCTCACATGACTGGTACTCAAGCTCCTATTTCTTGTATCCACGGCCATTGACTATAGTATGTACTTTCCTGGATGGCTATGAAAAAGAAAAGAAAGGGTAGAAGAAAAGGAGGCAGCAGGAAAGAAAGGGGGAAAAATACAGTGGGACAGTAGGACAAGAATCTTCTTTAAATCTTTTCCAGATCTACAGTTTAGCAAATCTCATGTAAATTGGACCAAATGCCATCCTGGTGCTCTGGGCAAGTCCTTCGTCATCAGGTCCCATGTGAAGTATTTGCTACTAATTCCGTAGACCGGACATCTCTCCATGGTGATTCTCCACTGAATGACCCTACAGGGGAACAGAGACTCAGGGATGCTCTTAATGGTCACAGCACTTTCCTAAGATGAGGCTAGGAGAAGCTTGAAAACTATCGAGAAAAAGAACCAGAAAAGGTGAGGTTTCCTTGCCCTGGTGGGACTGTGTACCTTCCCTCACTGTTATATCTCTTTCTGCTGCTTCATCCCTGTGTCACGAGAGGCAGCAAGACCCTCGGGAGGAAAGAAGGGCACAGGGTGGCACTTCTGCATCTCTTACTACCAGGAAGACGAAGTAGCTGTTATCAAACAAGTAGCCATTGTTTTTTAAAGGAGCAAAATAATTATCTCTAAGAACAATCAGACCAGGCAAGCAGAGGGAGATGCAAATGAGTTAGGAGCCAACAGATGGATGGAGGAGAACCTCCACAGGCTGGAGTAAGGCCGACTGAAAACCCATTTCCCATAGATCAGCTGCCTTCCCCATGGACGCTCAAGTCTGTGTGGATGATACTATGTAGATTGGCTGGGAAGCTATCCTCCTCCAGGCTGGAGAGAGATGCTGTTTTTTTTGTGGCACTAGATAAGAAATAGTGTATAAAAGGAGAAATAGAAATAAAGGGAGACTAGATCAACAGAACAGTGGGGGTCATTTGCTTTTCCAACTCTTTCTGGTTTTGCTAGGTTCTGTGGGCTCTGATTAGCTCTGTGGCTTGCTGGGTGATTTAGCAGATTTTTTTTTTTTCTAAACTTACTGACAAGGAAACTCCAAACTTTCAATAAACTTGCCACAGAAAGCCAGCTGGGACCCAAAGAAGGAGCCACAGGGTATTTATGAATATTCAACTCTGTAAGAAAGCTGGTAAGATTTGTGTGTTAGTAAATCTTTCCAAATGCTTCCTGCTATAGGATGGCTAGTCTCAACCTACCCCAGAAAGCAAGGACTGTATCGAGAGGAGTCATGGAGGTGGGAGGGAGGGGAACAGCTGGAGTGGAAGGTGGGAACCTTGGCTTGATCCTTGGTCTTCGCTGGCCACATCTGGTCATTGGCTCATGTTGTTGGAGGACTCACTTGTCATTGTGCCCCCATGATTCTTTTACCATGGAGCCTTGGATCAGAGGAGAGCCAGAACCTGCTAGAAATGGAGTTGATTCCCTTGTCTCCACCCGCTTTGTCCCATAGGTGTGTGGTTCTGCCATCTTTGTTATTTGGGAACAGAAATGAAGGTTAACATTGCCATGGATACCCACGGGCCTTCTTGTACACTGCGATAGAGATAGAAATGGGAATACTCTGGTGAGGGTTAACTTGGCAATAATAACACCGCACACATCTTAAGTAAGTAAATATGCTTTGTCCCAGTAATTGTATTTGTGGAAATGTATTCACAGGAAATAATGAAATAGCATTTTGAAAGTGCACGTACAGAGCGATTATTGTACTGCTGCTTATAACAACATCAGAATACCAGGAAAGCCCTAAATGCCCCTGATGAGGTCAGCTTATAAACAAGAGCACAGCCCTGCCTCAGTAGAACAACCAAGCCTCAGAGTGCTGTAGTACACAGCCCTTTGAGTGACGCTGTAGGCCTGTGGGTGCTACACAAACACACGTGGGCACTGTACCCTCTTAGATTTTTTTATTTGTACCAGGAACCAAACTTAAGAATTTCTGCTTGCCAGCCAGGTACTGTGTCACTGACCTATGTCCCTGGGTACTCTTAGATTTTTAAACAGTCTGTTACCAAAAATGGAATAATATGATTTATTTTATATAGATAAACATCACATGTGTACATGAAAGTACTCACAGTTGGAGAGGATAGATATCAAAATGTTGAGCGTGGCTATTCAGCATGGTGGGATTTGGAGCAGCTGTTTTTCTTTTGACCTATTTTTACATTCTATCATGAATATGTATTTACTTGTGCAAAATTTGTAAAGAACTCACCAAGGAAAAGTAGGTCTGTGGCTATGGGTGAGTTGGTGCGAGTCTCCTGCTGGCCAAGGAGGTCTTGGTGGGCTGTTTCTGGTGGGCGGGTTCTGTCCTCCTGCAAGACCACCTGGACACACAGATTTGGGCTGCTGCGGTGGTGGGTCCAGCCTAGTTCCAGAAAGTTTTCACAATATATCTGGGTTCTCATATTCTCCCTAGGAAAGGAAAACTTCCTGTAGGGAAGGGGCCCAGAGCCATTGGCCCCACCGTCTTTCAGAAGAACTCCTAGATGCTCACCTTCCCACCCAGGAAGCTGATGAAGAGGCTGTGAGAACTTCACGATGAAGGGAGAGAATAATTGCCTAAATTTGCCAGATTTTACAGTAGAGAAAATCTTGTGATGATGTTGGCAGATATCAAACATTTTGCTTCCAAAATCTAATGGTTTTTTCCCCTCCATATAGGAATAATTAAGTGAGAAGTTTTTCAGGTATCTCACCCCTTTATCTGTGATAATTTAAGGAACATGGATGAATCATGGGTGAAATCAATTTAGAGTTCCCCTCAATATTGACTTTGCCCTTAGATCCTAGGCTAGATCTACCTACGGATATTGAAGTGAATGCTTCTTCTGTCTTTCAGGTACCAGTGGACTGGATGGCAGCTCGTCACCTGAAACAAAGCAGAGCTTTAAGAGTCTTTGGGCTCACATAGGACACCCCAGAGCAGATGTTTGAGCAATGTCAGATACATACCTATAATCTCAGCACTCTAGGAGGGTGACGGAGGAAGATCAAGAGTTGGAGGCTAGCTCAGGCAATTTAGCAAGACTCTTTCTTTAAATAAATTAATTAATTAATAAGAAAGGGCTAGGACCCAGTATGTCTCAGTTGGCTAGGCCTGGAGGTCTACTTGGAAGATGGGGCTTTCTGAGAAAGCCATAGGCAAGTCCCAGGCAAACTACTTTCCATAGGATACAGGACAGCTAAGACCTGTTCAACTCATCTTTGCATGTCTACTGTCCAGAACCTCACTGTAGCATGAGCATGATAAGCATCTTTGGAAGTAACTACACATATGAATAAATTATAAGCCTAGTTGAAAGCCCCAAGCAAAACACCCAAATAGGTATTGGTGATTTAGAGGAAAGCTGGAGCAAGGAGTGAGAAATCACTGCAATCATCATTGCTTGCAATATTGGTCCATTTAGGACTGGTTCACTTGGGGAAAAAATGAACCTGTCTCCAGAACACATTGTTCCTCAAACACGCATTCCCATTAAATGTTTCTTTCTCTGATGTGTGGAGTGTTCCTATGTTTGGCCACCGAGGCCCAGCCCTTTTCTGAACTTCCAAAGCACTTCTTGTCTTAGCTAGGAAATTGACATTCAACCAAACTTCCGTACCACACTTCTTCTATTGTGGTGGGCTATGCAGCTCCAACAGTGGGCTCTCAGGTCTTGGCCTCCCCGACAAAGCTCACTAGCTCCTCAGAGGCAGCCTGTGCTCTCTAGAATGTCAACAGCGTTCAGTAAATACGCACTGTGCACATCAGTCAGTTAGTATAATGGTGATATGCCTAATTGAAACACAGCATAATTCGAGGTGCAGTGAGCCACTCACCCAAAAGACATGGCTTCTCCTTGTGGGACCTTAACAATAGAAGAGCAAGGGTTCACAGGAGAGAGTGATGTGGCAGAAGCCCACTGCTACTGGATAGAAGTCCCACCCTTCTTCCCCGCCTCAGGACTCAGGAAAGAAGTGTTGGGGTGCAGGGAAGACTGTGGCCAAAAATGAAAAATCCCTGCCTAGTGTTTGGAAGATGGGTCCATCCCAGCTGCCTGGTTTACCTGAAACAGGAATAAACCAGGTTCCAGAATACATCACCCCTGAAACATGTCTTCCCCTCACTGTCTCTTTCTCTTGTGTTTGGAATGTTTGGCCGTAGTGGTACAACAGCAGATTTCCTATTCAAGAAACCTTTCAGGGTCTGCCTGATTAGTTAGGCTGATTGTCTCTAATCTTTCTTTCTTAAAAACACCACCCTCTTACATCTGCCTCTGTCCCTCTGTCCTCCTTGCCCTCCTCTTCCTCCTCTTCTTCCTGTTCCCAGTCACGAAAGGAACAGCCTCTGAGTCACTTGGGTACCAGCTTGTGGCAGCCTTTTAACCTTCCACTTCTGTGCACTCCATTTTTTCCTCCCCTGGAAAGGAACCTGCACCCTTCCCAGAGCCGTGGAAGTCAACTTGTGCGGCTGGCACAAGCGTTTTAGCATATGGAGTGGTCCAAATATTTAAATATCTATGATATGGGAAGCAAGGAGAACATTAAAAACCATTTTCTCCCTGCTGATTGCAAGAGAGGAAATGCACACAGCCCTTGCTCCCTGCATACTTGCAAAACTGCTGGCCTAATCATATTGCCTATGGAAAGAACCCCTCCCGCCTCTCCTAGGCTGGCTTTAGGTTGCATTGACTGTAAACAAAGATGTATTTAGTGGTGGGGAGGAGAGTTGGATTGAGTTTATTGTTTATGTAAATCTCTCAGAATGTGACATAGCAAGATAGCTTCCTATGTTGTGTTGATCCACGTTTTAGGCCAACAGCCAAAGTATTTTATCTTTTCCTTCATTATAGTGATCTTCCAATTAGCTGTGGTCTGTAATACCCTGATTTTGGTGGCAGTGGTTTGGACAGGATTGTTTGATAGTTCTGCTCGAGAGGCAAAATAAGGGGCCTTATTATAGAAGTGCAGAGGTTGTGCAGGAACTGAGTTCTGTTGCAAAGTTTGCCGATAAGGGGAAAACCGGCCCTTAAGCATCCATTCTGTTCTGTATATTAACACTTCTAATCTGCACTGCTGATAAAACTGCAAACCATTTGCCTTTGGAGGAATTAGTTCTGCCTCACTTGTGTAACCAGGCGATGGTGATTAACCTTTAAACTGTCCAATATTCCCAGCAGCCTCCTGCTCCAGATTAGAAACTATTTAGTTATGACCAACTAAATTAACAACACTCCCTCCTTTGAAGAAGACATTTGGAAGGTGGATGCATTTTAAGGTGGAATTGTGTTTTGAATTGGTGATCTATCCTTGGGAGGTGTTTGTTTCCCTCTTTACAGTCCAGGCTGCCACCCTGGGATAGGGGCTCAGTTGGGGGATGGAGTAGATAGAAAGGGAGGGGGACCAGTTGTCCCAGTTGCATTTGCAAATGCAAGGTTTCATGGGCACAAAGGAAGCCTGTCTTGGGTTTAGATTTCTTTCCTTCTTATCATCCCAGGTTAAAGGGGCATTTTATACACAAGACCCTGGGTTCATTCCCCAGCACCAAACGCAGGGTGGGGGTGGTATTAGCTCTTCCCCTAGACCCACACCATGCTCACAGTGGGACTAAGCAGTTGTCCCTAATGGGAAGATTAAGGAATAAAATAGCTCCCTTATTTCCCATTTCTTCCCGGAGATGAATGTCAGAGAAAGATGCTAACGTTCGGGTTGCAGATGTGGGGGTGCCCACCGCAGGTGGGTCTGCCCAACTGAACTGCAGCCGCGCTAACAATCTCTGTGCAGCCTTCTCCTATCTGCCCATTTCAAATGTGTAATTTATCAGTCGAAACATACCCTCGGTGGTGAGGGCCAGGCAATTATGTAATCGTGTCATGCCTTAAATCCCCAAATTGTTGGTCCTCCCTGGATAACAAATAAAATGGAACGGCAATCCTCACCACCACCACCGCCACCCCACCACCACCCAATGCTGGTAGCAACCTTTTCTGTTTTACCAGTTTCATATTAGCTACCTCCTTAAGAACCGCCAATCTAGATACTGCATTAGCAGAATGTCAGTCAAGCCGCAGTCCACGGTGAAGCCTTCTTCATACACCAATTTAAATCATTCATGGTCTTTTCTTTGGCATTATTCAAAAGATCATAATAATTTTCTTGTGCCCACAGCACAAAAAAATCAATTATTTCCCCACAAAGACTTGAAAGTACTTAGCGAGTGCGGCAAGAAAAGCTGAGGGTGATATCAAATTGAAATTGCACTCATTACATACAACACAATTAGTTGCCACTAGCCTGGCCGGGCTTTAATTCTGAATGGCATATCTTTATTATTACAGAAACAAGCATGCAAATGGCATTGTTCAGGATTTGCGGAAATCAATAGGATATAGTGCTGTGTGTTTGGTGGCCACTGTCACTCACGCTGCTGTGGATGCGAGATAATGTGTGTGTTTGAATTAATGAAGGGAGCAGGCAGCATCATAAGTGACACCCAAATAAAAGAAATGGGTACATGATATTTGTAATTATTCTACTTGTGTTTTTGTTGTAAATACTTGTGCTTTTTGTTTTTTAATCAAAGGATTAATTGCATTTTAATAAGGCATTATGATTTGCAGAGCTTTAGTTAATTAAAACTTGTAGTATATAATTATGAAGTGATGCTGAGATTTTTCTAAAGATCACCCATATGTTTAGAATATGTATAATTTTTCTGTTATGCTGTGGCAACCTTCCCCCCACCCCGCCCCTTTCACTTGGTCCCTCCCCAGCCCCCAGTGGAAGACATGGGTGCCTTATGTGGAAGGCTGATGCACTGATAATTCCAGGTGGATTTCTCCTAAGTGGCAGCTAGAATACAATTTAGGATATTGCACAAATTAAAATGACTCTGAAGGAGCACTCCCATGAGGTAAAGTGCAGCAGAAAACTTCCTTATTGACATCTGCCTTCCAGTTAATACTCCTGAGAGACAGCACTGTAGAGGTTTGGGGAGGTCATGTGAGTTTTAGAATGTAAGCTTCAGAAGTTTAGACTTGTGGAAGGTGGTACCCTTGCAAGTCAGACCTTGGTTAGTTCTCTGAGGCTAGGAGACAATCCCAGTATAGTTGCTGGACCACGACCTTGACTTCTGTGACACACAAGAACTCACTAGGGAGGAGGGCAACGAGCAGAGGTGATGCTGAACGTCAAGGGAGCCTGAAATTCCCTAGTGTTAACACATTAGTAATTCACAGTGGAATCCAGCCCAGAGACGTGTAATCATGTTTCCTGTAGGTGTGTATTATGTGAAGGCTGATGGATTAATTGCTAGATAGATGGAATAGAGTTAAGGTAAAACATTATTAAAAAGTTTTAAAATCTTAATGTAACATTTTGAAGTTTGCTTTGGGGATTTTTTTTTTTTTTTTATTTCAGTCTCCTACTTTCCCATTTGCTCCAAAAGTAGGAGTCTCAGTTGTCTATGCAGACAGAAGGATCTTGCCAAGAGCTTAGCACATCCTTTGTTAAGGCCCTACAAGGGCAGGTGGATGCAGGCCCTGGTGGTGGCTGGATCTCTGAACAAGAGGACTGCATTTCGTCTTCAGGATTTTGTCTGGGCACTCTTGGGCCAGTCCCCCGCCACCATCCAAACAACCAGACAACACAGTGAGAAGCAAGGATATCACCCCACCACCAAGGCAAAGTGAAGAAGGACAGAGGTGAAGGGACAAGGATTCTGCGGTGTTCTTGCCCCAAACCTGGTTTTCCACAATGCCCGCAAAGTGCTCCAAGTAGGATGGCCCAAAGCTGATTTCAAATCTAATATTGTTCCGTTGGTCATGGCTTCTTATTTTAACTCTGAGAACCTAGAGCTTGGCAAGGTGGTTCATTCAAAGCTTGCTAAAATATTTGCTCAGCAGCACAATGGTGTGTGATGGAAAATAAACTCTTGTGGCTTGCTTCATCCTATCAGCCTCCGCCTGCAGCGGGGAAAGAATGAGGGAAGGTCAGTCAATTATGTGTGGTAATCACCGTAAGCATATTATCTGAGACACAGATGTCTTCTATGACCCCACACGACATGGCTATTAACCTCGGAGCAATATAAAAATGGAGTGGGCTTGGGGGGAGGAGTGGAGGTAAACCAGGCTTTCTGTCTCATCTCGTCCTCAGGCCCAGGGAGAAAGAAAGTTCTGGATATGAAGACTGCTTTCAAGAACCCAGCTAGCAACGTGACCCCTGCTCACTCCAGCCAGATCCTCTGGCCCCTCCTTCACAGAGACCTTTCTGCAGGCCTCACCATGTCACAGCACTTGCTCATCTGAAAATGAGACTGACAAATTGACTTGGGAGATATCTCAGATCTATGGTGGCCCTGGCAGCTACTTTGTGTTCAACAGAGCAAAGAAGAGAGGGAAAAGCCACTTGGGTACCGGTGTGTATGTGTGAAGAAATTCTCCTCCGGTCTGGTGGGGGTGGGAAGGAAGGGAGTTGGGGCACGGGTTGCTGAGAATCAGGGTTCTCATACTGAA